TTCCTGATTTTTCTTTTTCCCAAGGTCATTTTGGCACCGTAGAAGTAAGAAACCCTGTTCTCTGCTAATCCTACATGTTGTACATTGTTATTTTTTTTAGCCTTCTGTACTATAAAAACTCAAGGATGTCTTTCTATAAATCTTAGTCACAGCCTTAGATCTGAGCCATTAGTTAAAAAATCAAGATGAATAGATATTTAAAATTATTTCTGTTATTACTCTCTGGCCTAATTTTACAGTTTCCCAGTCTTTCCTAACATGTCCAGTTTCTTCTCATTCTGATCAAATGAGAGTTTGGAATGGTTGTGCACCAGCCCTTCTGATCTCTCCTCCTGTATTCCTTTTCATGCACCATTGTATCCCCCAGCCTTCCACGTATGCAGGCCAGAAACCTCACAGCTGTATGAGTCTTTCTCTTTCTTTCCCTTGATCCCTTGGTGTTGGCCAAATCATGTTGTTTAGTGAACACTACCTCTTATTTTTACCTGCCCTTCCATTTCTGTTATCTCTGGCATTATTCCAACCCACAGCAGATCTCTCTTCTACTGTTCTAATATACTCTTAACTATTCTCCTTACCTCTAAGCTCTTTCCCTTAAGGTACTTGGCTTTTTTAATGATCAAAATATATGTTGGGCCTTGGTGCAGTGGCTCATGCCTGTAACTAGCATTTGGGGAGGCTAAAGTGGGAAGATTTCTTGAAGCCAGGAGTTTCAGACCAGCCTGGACAATACAGTAAGACCCCATCTCTACAAAAATGAAAAAAAAAAATCAGCAGAGTGCAGTGGTGCGTGCCTGTAACCCCAACTACTAGGGAGGCTAAGGTGGTGGGAGGATTGCTTGAGCCCAGGATTCAAGGCTGCAGTGAGTGATGCCACTGTACTCTAGTCCAGGCACCAGAGTGAATTCTGTCTCTCTATAGACAAAAACTTGAAAAAATGGAGGAAATGGACAAATTCTTAGAAAGACACAGCCTCCCTAGCCTCAATCCAGAAGAAATAGAATTCCTGAACAAACCATTATCAAGTACTGAAATTAAAGTAGCAATAAAAAATCTTCCAATGAAAAAAAGTTCCAGACCAGATGGTTTACAGTTGAATTTTACCAGACCTACCAAGAGCTGGTACCTAGACTGTGGAAATTATTCCATAACATTGAGAAGAAGGGATCCTCCCAGACTTGTTTTATGAAGCCAATGTCACCTTGATATCCAGGCAGGAAAGAACACAACAAAAAAGAAAACTATAGATCAATATCCCTTATGAATATAGATACAAAAATTCTCAATAAAATCTTAACAAATAAAATTTAACTACCACAATCAAGTGGGCTTCAGTGAAGAGATGCAAGGTTGGTTCAACATACGCAAATTTATGAATATAATATATTGCATAAAGAAGAGCAAAAACAAAGATGATCCGAGCCTCTTGATAGAAAAAGCATTTGACAAAATTCAACACCCTTTTATGATAAGAACACTTGACAAAATAGGCATACATGGCATTTACCTCAAAATTATGTATATGACATAAGCCATATATGGCATACCCACAGCCAACATCATGCTGAATAGAGAAAAATTGAAAGCATTCCTGCTTTAGAACTGGAAACAGACAAAGTTGCCCACTTCAACATAGTGCTGGAAGTCCTAGCCAGAGCTATCAGACAAGAGAACGAAATCAAGAGTGTCCAAATGGGGACAGAAGCGGTCAAATTGTCACTCTTTGCTGAGGATATGATTTTATATATCTAGAAACCTAAAGGATTCTGCCAAGAAGCTCCTAGAATTCATAAACAAATTCAGCAAAGTTTCAGGTTACAAAATCAATATATACAAATTCGTAGCATTCATATAATCCAACCACAGTTAAGCTGAAAATCAGATCAGAGACTTAATAACTTTCACAACAGAAACAAATAAAATAAAATACCTAGGAATATATTTAAGTAAGGAAATGAGAGACTTCTATGGAGAGAACTACAAAACAATGAGGAAGGAAATTTCAGAGGACATGAACAGAAAGATGCATCCTGCTGATGGCAGAATCAACATTGTTGAAATGTTTATGGTACCCAACGTGATCTACAGATTCAATGCTGTCCCTATTAAAATACCAAAGTCATTTTTTGCAGATCTAGGAAAAATAGTCTTATGTTTTGTGGAGAACCAGAAGAGACCCCAAATAGCCAAAGCAGCCTTAAGCAATAAGAACAAATCAGGAGGCATCATTTGTACCTCTCACCATTCACAAAAATTAATTCGTGATGGATAACAGGCTTAAACCTAAGACATGAAACTATAGAGTTCTAGAAGAAAATATTGGGAAAACTCTTATAGCTATTGGCCTACGCAAAGAATTTATGACAGTGACCCCAAAGGGAATCACAGCAACAACAAAAGTTAACAACTGTGACTTGATTAAATTAAACAGCTTCTGTATAGCCAAGAAAACAATCAATACTGTGAATAGACAACCTACTGTGGAAGGAAATATTTGCATGCTCTACATCTGATAAAGGGCTGATACCCAGATCTCAAAGAAACCAGCAAGAAAAAAATCAACCCCATTAAAAAAAGGGAGCCAAAGACATGAACAGAAGCTTTTCAAAAGAAGATAAACTAATGGCCAATAAACGTATGAGAGAATGCTCACCATCTCTAATCATCAGGGAAATACAAATAAAACCACAATGAGTTTATCATCTAACTCCAATGAGAATGGTGTTTATCAAAAAGTCTCAAAAGAGCAGATGGTGGCATGAATGTGAAGGGAGAGACAGGAAGGCACTGCTGGTGGGACTGCAAACTAGCACCACCTCTCTGGATTTTTAGACTTAGGATGCTCAGCCTGTACTTTTCCTTCGTAGTATTTAGCACAGTTTGAAATTATATACTTGTGAAATCAAGTATCAGATATACTCAATACTAATGTGAAGCCAGTAGATGATCTAATATGTTCCCACACGAGAGAAAAAGTAAGTCACGATGGGAGGAGAGGGGAAGAGGGAGGAGGACTGGTGTGCTCTCACTTAATGGGCACAAAGTCGGGGTGTGTGGCACTTTTCCTGGGGGCAGGACATAACTACAACAGGGACTCTACCTGTCTCCAAATGCAGACATTGTAACCTAATTCTTTGTACCCTCAAAACAAGCTGAAATTAAAAAAAGAAATTATATACTTGCATAATAATTTAATTAAATGCTTTCTCCGCCGTTAGTCAGAGATCTCTGTTAGTTTACTTATCATCAGATCCTTGCCACCTAGAATGACTAGGCATGGAATGAATTAACGTATTTAGAAGAAATTACTTTAAAGCTTCCTAAAAGTGATTAAAATACTTTTCTAGATTGGGGAGGCAATTGATCTGGCACGTTAGTTTATGAAGAATTGCATGATTCAGAGGCTGTGAGCTTGGTTAACTACAAACTAAGTGAATGGTGTGAATGTGAAGGCAATGGGACTGATTCATAGAAATCATTTATTTTGTGCCGTAGTTATTACACTGTATTTAGTAGTAGAGATATTATTTTATATAACTAATTAAGATTGTTTAAATATTAGTGAATGCTTACTATATGAACAGTTTGGTTTTGAAGTAATTGATGCCAAACTAGTTTTTTTGTTTTTTTTTTTCCCCGTGCAAATGCTGGCCAACAGATTTGTTTGTTAAGCCTATACCCAGTCAAAAATAGTAAAATATATATATGTGTGTGTGTGTGTGTGTGTGTGTGTATACATATAGTAATTGGCATAAAGAAAGATATTTGTTCATTTTGCTATAGCAAGGATATGTGCACTCAATTTTTTTAATAATTAGGCTAAGCACTTTAAACTAAATATAAATACTCTTTAAAGATTTAGAAGGAGAGTTGCTGAGACAATGCTTTTTGACAGCATTTATAGTTAGAATCACATTTTTGTGGGATTATTCCTTTGTTGGCTTTAGAAGTAGTGGATTAACCTATAGAAGCTTTAGAATTAATAAGTGAAAGCTGTTGGTGAGTCTACTGCAGCTGTATCAAATACTGGAGTTTGTTTTGGGAGCGGGAAAGGGAAGAATAGAGTGAAAGGGTAGAGCAGGTAAGAAGCCATTAGTGGTTTTGGTGAGAGATGTGGGCACAGGAACACACAAAAAAGATCTGACATGCAGTGAGGAGTTAAAATCAATGGGAATGTGATTGAATGACAAGCAACACAGGAGAAAGAGTCGGTTGTGTGTAGCTCACATGAGTAACTGCATAGTGGTGTGACAGCTGGGGGAGCGATAACGATTTCATCTTGGACATGAAAGTTTGAAGTGCCCCCTTATAACTTCCAGGTGAAGATGTTTAGTAGGCAGTTGGGAGCCATGAGTAGGAAGCACTGAGATGGTGATCTAAGCTGGAGAAGTTATTTTGGGAGTTGTTAGCAACATCTGGATATGGTTGAAAGCTGAAAGTGGATGTGATCACCAAAGGAGAAGGTAGAGAAAGAAAAAAACAGAGAATCCCTGAGAGGAAGAGTTCAGAAGAGGAGGGAGAGACCCTGAAAAGGGAGGCCAGAAGGAGGAGTCGGAGAAATTTGAGGAGAACCAGGAGTATGTGGTGTCAACACATTGTTGCAACAAAATAATGGGGAAAGAAAGCAGAGTAGATGTTTGAGTCAGAAAAGAAAGAAGGGAGACAGCCAGCATAAACAATTCTTTAGAGAATTTTTGATCCACTGGGGAGGAGAGAGAATGGATAGTTGCTGGATGGGAGGTGAGAGAGAGAAGCTATAACAAGTTCCCAGTATCCAAGTGGAGGGATCACAAACAGAAGGAACCTTGCTTTTGTTTGGGGGCTTCTTTTCCTTCAGTCTCAGGGGTACTGAAGAGAGTCCTAAGCAGTATCTGGCTAGGTATTTTCTGAGAAAAATTACTTTGCCAATGGGTTGAATTTCCAAAAGATACCAAAAAGTTAGATGATTTAAATATAACGGTGTTTTTTTTAAGGATTTAAAAAAAAATCTATCTTTTTTTTTGAGTATGGAACGCTTCACAAATTTGCATGCCATCCTTGCCGGGGCCATGCTAATCTTCTCTGTACCATTCCAGTTTTAGTATATGTGCTGCCAGAGTGAGCATAAGAAATGTATCTTTATCCTTGCTTTCATAGCTTCCCCAAAACCAGAATGGGTTTAAGAAAATACCCATCATGAGTTGAAAGTTACACCCATTTATATTTCAGTTCTCAGAATTTTGTGACTCCAGAATTCTAGCCCATTTGGCCTGAAGTACAAAGTTATTTCAATTTTTATAATACAGAATCTTAGGGATTTCCTAGATATGTCCATCTGAGAAAAAAGGGGGACTGCTTAAAGAAAATGTGGTTCAGAGGCATATTGTTTGATTGATTAAATGAGATTCAGAGCAAAAAGCAAACCTTGATTGCCTGAGTAGTTGGAAGGAAATTATGTACAGCAACAGAGTGATAATTTTTATTCTTAGTTATCACAATATATATAAAAAGTTCTATAATATGTAAAGGGCACTCAGTATGTTGGTTCACTTAATCTTTATAAAAACCCTTTGATATGGGAGGGACAGATTTTTGCCTCTAAAAGTAATGCCAGTGAAATATTGGGCATCATTTGGAATTATAGCCAAACAATAATAATAAAAAGCATTATTTTCTTCTTATCCCAAATCTTGGTATTTTTACCTGGAAAACTCCCTATAATTCTGATTACTATGCTTAATAAGACCTAAAAGAATTGAATTTTAGTTCAAATTAGCAATATTGCTTAGTGCTACATTTGCACTATTTACTGTCTTAAGGGATTGTGCAAAGAATATGACCCACTTTTACCCCTCAGTGAGATCATAGTGCAGAGGGGAGAGAGATTTGTGAATATTTGTTTATAACACTACAAGATAAAAGCAGCGGTGACGGTCTGCAAGGTGCAGAGGTTGCAGAGAAACGGGCCAGGAACAATTTCTGAAAGGATAGGATAAATGGACTAGGCTTTGGGATGGTAGGATCCATCAGGTGGACAGAGGGCCCTAGGATATTTGAGAGAGAAGGAAGCGCTCATAGAAAGCACGGAGGTGTGACTAGCAAGGTGTCTTCAGGGAATTATAAGTAGTTTTTCAGTGTTAGTGAAACAAAGTCGTATGAGGTTATAGAGTTGAATACGAATCTTGAGAGTTTTACGGAGACTAATTGTCAGCACTGCAAATCAGATTTATGTTTTCTGATGATCACTCTGGAGGGTAACTCTGCTGACAGGAGACGTATGAGCTAAGAGACTCCTGAAAGATTTCTGGGCAGGATATGATAAGGGTCTGAATTGAACAGAGGACTGTGGGGATGGAGAGATGTCAGGTGTGAGAGAGAGAGAGATACGAGATGAAACACTTTGAATTGGATGGCTGGTTCATTGTTAGGTAATGGAAAAAGAGACTGTTCGAATAGCCCCAGAGCAGCTTCTGCTTCATGAAGAAAAGTTAAATTAGATCTTTCAGTGGGAGAATTGACAAAATTCCCATTTTGAGTGTATTTATTGAATGCAGGCTGGATTATCAGTGACGACTAGAACTAATGGTCAGCCCCTTTTACACATGGAAAAGGTAAAACTGGGATCAGTAAGAGTCCTTAATGCATCATAAAGAAAGCATTACATTTATGGACATTCGAGTGCTAATTCCTTCCAGAATAAAAGTGAGCCACATAAGTTTAGTTAATTATAAACAGACACACTTAACACCATTATTGAAAAACCAGGTTTTTCTGAATGGGAAGATAATAGTTTCAAAGTGAACAAACCATCTGTTTCCTAATTCTTCAGTAGACGAACAGCAGCTCATTCATAGGTTTTATCCAGAATGAAAACGTTTGTGGATAAACATCTTGGAAAGGGATCACAGAATCAATTAAAAGAAAAACTATTCATCTTTTTAGTGTGATATTCTCGAATCGTGTTTCGCCAGCATTCTAGTCTCATTCTTTATACTCTTTAAACTTAAGGACCATAAACAACTTTGATTTATATAGCCTGTATCTCTTGATACTATTAGAAATTAAAATGGAGAAAAATATTCATTAATTATTTTCAAATGAAAATAAAAATCTGTCACATATTGTGATAACTGTTTACCAAGGGATAATAATATTAATGAGAGGAGTGGTATTGTCTTACATTTGTGCAAATCTCCTCAGCTAGCTTAATAGAAGACAGCTGGATTCTCACACGTACCTGCTCCTGTCTGTTATGACAGCACTTGTTAGATAACTTCTGAAAAACACTGTACACTTAAGGGAAAAGCGTGAAAAAGGCTACGGCTAATATGAAAATGGTTTTGACTTTAAAGATCCACTGACAGTAGCCATTTGAGGACTACTGTTTTCAAAAAGACAGACATTTGTGCTATGTACAGAAAGTTACCCCGCCACCATCCGTTTTGGAAGTAGATCCTCCTAAGCATAATTATACCATTGTTCTCTAGCTTTGTCCTGTACCCCTAACGGCCTATGATCTTTCTATAGATAAATGAAGTCATGTTCAAGGCAGAATTTCTTAGTCTTTTATGACCTAATCTTTACGATCTAGTGGTGCATAAGTTCATCCAGCCCTATTCTCTCCAGTTTTCTTCATAATTTCTCAGTATTGATAAACTCTAGAGGCATTTATTTTTGAGACAGAGCCTCAAGCTGTTGCCCTGGGTAGAGTGCCATGGAGTCATAGCTCACAGCAACCTCACACTTTTGGGCTTCAGCAATTCTCCTGCCTCAGCCTCCCGAGTAGCTGGGGCTACAGGTGCCCACCACAAAGCCCAGCTATTTTGGTTGTTGTTGCAGTTGTCTTTGTTTAGCTGGCCTGGGCCAGGTTGGAACCCACCAGCAAGTGGCCGACACTGCAACCACTGTGCTACGTGCAGTGGGCCTAGAGAACTGAAGTCTGAGAAGGAAGAATAAGACTGTCATTGGGGCCCTTTCTTTGTGCCTTGGAAGAATTAGAAGGAAGGAAAACCACAGTATGGGCCAGGCCCAGTGGCTCATGCCTGCAATCCTAGTACTCTGGGAGTCTGGGATTTTGCTTGAGCTCAGGAGTTCCAGAGAAGCCTGAGCAAGAGCAAAACCCTGTCTGTTCTAAAAATAGAAAAATTAGCTGGGCATTGTGGCAGGCAGACTGTAGTTCTAGCTACTTGGAAGCTGAGGCAAGAGGATTGCTTGAGCCCAAGAGTTTGAGATTGCTGTGAGCTATGATGCTAGAGCACTCTACCTAGAGTGACAGAGTGAGTGAAACTCTGCCCCCCCACCCCCCCAAAAAACCTAACATGCTATTACATGGAGTCTGGACTCCTTCAAAATGCAAAACCATGGACACAGAAGACCACTTCCTGGAGGCCTGCCTAGAGTGGTAAAGAAGAATTATCTCTAGAAAATATCAACACTTCAAGATTTATCTCTGCTTTGAAAACCCATGAGCCTTAAAATAGCCTCTGAGTTTCTCTACCTTTTATACATCGCATACACCATTTGTCTTCTCTCTCTCTTTTCTTATGCTACTCCATCAATATTGGCTTCATGTGATTCTAAACACAGTCGTGTGTCTGTGTCCAGTAAAAACAAAGTCTTTGTGTCCTTTAAGCTTTCTCTAGAATCTCTTCATTTGCACTGCCCCCACCCAGTTCTGTCATTCCTATTTAAACAACCTTAGGATTTGACTTCAGACTGTTATTTTCTTCTCTCCTCCCTCGCCCTGGATAGAGTGGGCAATGTTATCATGACACACCACAACCTCAAACTCCTGGGCTCAAGTGATCCTCATGCCTCAGCCTCCTGAGTAGTTGGGACTACAGGTGCCTGCCACAGCACTTGCTAATTTTTCTATTTTAAATAGAGATGGGTCAGTGGGGTCTTGCTTTTGCTCAGGCTGGTCTCATACTCCTAAGCTCAAGGGATTCTCCTGTCTTGGCCTCCCAGAGTGCTAAGATTACCAGTGTGAGCCACTGCGCCCTGCCCCTAGACTTTTTTCAATCCATCCTATGTAATACTGCTTTATTAATTTTCTCAGATAACTACTGTTACCATGATACTTCCCTTTGCTCAGAAATATTCAGGGATGCCTTAATTTGTACTGTGGTAAAAATCTGTTTTATCTCTACCCTCCTACTTTCCCGTGAACATGTCATCTGAAATGTTCTGTAGCAGGCCTGGCTATTTGCTCCTGATTTTTTGAACACGTGCTGCACATTTTTTACCTCCGTGCTGTCTTCATGTTTTCCCTTTCACCTGGAATGTCCTGTTTTTCATTTTCCATCTAAATCTAACAGATTCTTCCAAGGCCAATTCAAGATCAATTCCTATAAATGTTTTTTTACCTAGCTAGTTTGTCTTTATTTTTCTCTCCTCTGATATATAGTAATGGTTTGGTACATAATTACATACCATTATTAATTGCTTATTTTTGTATTAGTTATGTTATTCGTTTCCTCCAAATCCTCATTTCTTGAGGAACTGTTTAGAGTTTAATTCTGGGAAAGACCAGACTTTTTGTGTGTATGTGGGGGGAATCATTGAGGGAACAAAGAATGAGGTTACACTATTTGCGTTTGTTAGGTAAAGTCCCTCTTATAATTGTGTCCTGCCCCCAGGAGATGTGTCACACTCTGTGATCCCCCCATCCGCCTTCTCTCCTTCCCTCTCCCCACTCCCCTCTTCCTGTACGCCCCACCATGTACTAACATCAATTGTCCTCATGTCAGAATTGAGTCCACTGGGATTCATGCTTCTCCATTCTTGTGATGCTTTACTAAGAAGAATATGTTTTATCTTCATCCAGGTTGATAGAAAAGATGTAA